GCCTCGCGCAGGAAGGCGCAGGACCGCGCACGCGCGCCCACCGGACGCCGTGTCCGGTTGGCGGGAGCGTCAATGGCGTGCGGGGGTGATCTTGCGGACTGAGGGCGCGAAAAACACGAGCCAGGAGGAACGAACAACAGGCAGGGACCCGAGGGACAGGGGCAGTGTGGTTGGGGAAGCTGAGGCCACGTGGAGGGGACAAATTGCCCTGGAGGACTCACGGACCAGGGGAACACGAACCCGCACGGTGGCCAGGGCAGGTTGAGACGCCGCGGACGCGCATACTCGGAGGCGGAGCAGCTACAAAACTAGACCAGGTTTATTGCCAAGAAAGGGGGAACAGGGATCACCTTAGGGATTAAGGCCACAGCCCGGTCCCCGTGCTCTGCCGGGACAGGGGGCTTGGGAGGCTGTGCTCCCTGTCCCAGACTGTGCAAAAAGTGCTGTGCGGCCGCTGAGGCTAGTGCTGGGACTCGTGCTGTGGGACTCAGGGCGGCCCCTCTGCCGGCGAGGGGCGGGACTCCCTGGAGTGACACGCCCACCAATCCCTGAGCTGGGCGGGGTGGGGCTCCGCCCACCCCCCCGAGTGCGGGCAGAGGGCTTCGCCGTCTGCTGCGCGCGGCCTCCGAGGGCGGAGCCCGCGCAGTGGGGCTAGGAAGGCCGTCAGCAGGACTCTTCAGGTTTGTACTCTGTCTCCCCGGAGGACACCTGCGAGATGCGCCGCGAGGACCGCCACAGCCTCCGCGCGAACTGGCTGCTGCGCACCTGGTGGGAAGAGGAGGGGGTGGGGTCAGCAGGGCTCTCTCTCCCCGCCCCATTCAAGGCCCACCCTGCCCTTATCCTCACCTCAGAGGGCTGCCCCGCGCCCACAACGATAAGCTTGCCGTCCTCCAGGCCCACAAGCACATGGCTGCGCTCTTTGGTCACAGACACACTGCGGATGGGCACCTTCATGGGCAGGGGAGGCGCAGCTGGGAGCAGTCTAGAGGGAGGGAGGGGACACGAACTCGCAACTGCAAGGCAGCTTTGCATCCAGCAGGTCTCTTCATTCTCCCCCAATGTACCCTTGCTGTCCTCATTTGAAGGATGGCTCAATTGAAACCTTGATACATGAAGGGACTTCCCACAAGTGTGTGGCTAGGAGAGGCCCAGGCCAAGATCTCCGCATTGGGGGATGAGGAGACAGGTGACGGCCTTGCAGTACATACCCACCTCCAATATCCTCTGACAACGACCACCACCCTGAGGGACCATGAACCCATAAATAGTGGGGCTCACTTGTTCAGGTGGAGGATGTGCAGGGCGCACTGGGCTGTTCCCAGCAGAACAAAGTCCTCCGTCAGCGCCAGGGCTGTGGGCTGCTCCACCAGGGGCAGTGAAGCCCGCAACCTCCCATTCACTGAGTACAGGTGCAAGGAGTAGGTGACCTGGAGGAAGCAGGAGGTGTCAGCGATGACAGAATCCCAACCACCCCTGTCTTGAGTGGGTGCCCCTTTCCCATACCTGAGCCCCTAGACGTTCCTGAGCCGAGCTCTGTACCACAATCTGACCCTCAGACCCCAGCGCCAGGTGGGATACAGGTCCAGGCAACATGGCCCCTGGGGGCCGTAGTGCTGCCACAAACTGGCCACGGCGTACAGTGTGGATGATCACAGTTCCATCCTGCAGGAAGGCAGCTTAGGGTGCTGGGCAGGGGTCTCTGGGGTCCAGGGGCAGTGCCCAGCAAACTCGGCCTCCCATGGGCATAGGCATACACATACCTCAGATCCAGACACAGCCATGTCGAGTTCAGTGCTGATGGCCACACAGCTCACTGCAGCCTCATGCCCGTATAGGACCTGCACAGGCTTTGGTGCCAGCCCCACCGAGACACCACTCTGTGGGAAGCCAGGGCTGGCTCAGGACTGGGGGCACCCCATTACCCAGGCCCCTGAGTGAGAAGGCCGAAGCTCAGGAGAGTGAAGGATTGTGCGAAGCCAGAGAGCTGGAGAGTTGTGGAGCCCCAGACCTGCTCACAGTAGCAGAGGGAAGGGGAAGAGACAAGGGCAGGACTGGAGGCCTACTGAGGGGCTGGTGGGCTGCAGATCTGGACTACTGGGGCCCCACGAGGCTGCCCACCCAGCACACCTGCTGCAGGAGTTGCCACACCATGCACGTGGTGTCTCGGGAGCCTGAGATGAGGTAGATGCCACAGGTGTCCAGTGCAAGGCAGGTCACTATGTCTGGGGAGGGAAAGATACAAGTAGAACACAGTAGTCACACCCTCCCTGGCCAGCCTCGGGACACTACCCCCACCTGTACCACCCATAGCTCCAAGGCTGCTCATACCAAGGTGGCAGCTCAGCTGGTTCAGGAGCTTGCCCCGGGGTAGTGCGGTCACTCGCAGGCTGCCATCCCAATGGCCACCACTGAACAGCAGCTTTCCATCGGGGGTCACTGCCAGGGCTTGCCCATTCACGCCACTGTCAGGTACCCACGGACCACTCAGCAGTCGCTGTATCCTGACCCAGGGAGGGGGATGACAAGTGAGGCCAGGCCATCACAGACCTTGGCCAGACCCAGTGGCTGGCCCGCACTCTGGGTGGGGAGATGCCCACCCCTGCCCACAGCCCTCTGTCCTACTTTGTGGAGTCTTTGATGAAGCTGAAGTAGTTGCTTATGTTACGGTCATAAGGCAACCAGCTGTGGGTGCCCAGCAACCCATTCGCACTCACAGTCACCTGTGGGCAAGAGGGGGCAGTTCCACTCGGTGGCAGCAGCCTGGCTTGGGGCAGTCAGGGAGAGGGTGGAGCTGGGATGGGGTCCTGCCCAGCACACTTACCAACAAGTCAGGGGTCATGAAGGAGTGGAGTTGCCGGTGGGGGACCAGGGCCAGCACCAGGGGCACGCCGTCACTGATGGCCTGCAGGGTAGAGTGCGTGGCTGGCTGTGCCTGAGCGGCCAGCTGGGGCCCCCACTACACCACCGGCTCCCTGGGACACCACCCCCGCCTTTGACCTCAGCCTCCAGGGGTCACAGGCTAGGTGTCAGAGCCTGAGGTCTCTCTGAGAAATAGCCATGAGACATCAGTGGGTCTTCAGGAGGGCATCTCAGAAAGTGAGTGAGAAGCTGGGATGGGCAAGGAGGATCCTTCCAGAATCTCAACCTTGGACTTCCCGCCCTGTCACTCCATGTCTCCCCTAGCCTGCTGGCAGGAAGAGAGGAGAGCCTAAAAAACTCAGCCCTGGGGGCATTCCGGGATAGAGGCAGGAAGGTAAGGGACGGTGTCCAAGACCTAGTCTCCGTAAGGCTTTTGGGGAGGAGTGGCTAGGTGAGCCAGCACCTGTCCTGGCCCTCGTGAAGCGGGTACCCCAGTCCCACTCATCCTCCTCTCACGTTTACTTCTTTCTCCAAGATGTCTTAATATCAGTGACCTTGATTTAGGTTTTCTCTCTGCCCTAAGAGGACACTGGGGTTAAACTCGTTTCACAGAGTGGGAAGTTAAAGCCCTTGTCTCCTCTCACCTCCGCGAAGAAGGCCTTGAGCTGGTCCAGGTGCTGGAAGATGCTAGGCGAGTTAGTGTCCAGACGTGCAAGGCGCTGGGCTGCTTCCTCGGCTGAGAGCCGAGCTGGGTGTGGCTCCTGTGGGTAAGGGGCTGGTCAGCACCATGGCACGGACACCCTGAACCACCATCCTCCAAGCTGGCCTTACCTTCAGCAGCTGACAGGGTGTCTGCCCAAAGTTGCTGATAATGCCCTCCAGAGCCTTCCGTTCCCGCTCATCCTCCACGCGGTCCAGGTCCACAGCCCCTGGACAGGAAGCAGAGCAGTCAGGACTCCCCGTGTGTCCTCCGCATTGACCCCTTCTCATCTGTGCCTAGCCTCCACCTGAGTCCACCTTCATAGGTGCAGTAATAGAAGACATTGAGGGCCTCCTCCGCAGCTGGCCCCTGTTGCTTATAGCCAAAGATGAGGTCGATCCACTCATGCAGGTGGGCGGACACGTACTCCGACTCCTGGGGACGGGGAGAGGCAGTCGGTCCAGGGACAGACGGCTGATCCGCAGCCCCGACCCTCAACCCTGGCTGTCTGCCTGTCTGTGTGCTCGTCTCCTCACCAGAGCCTGGCGGTGCTGCTGGATGAAGTCCTCGGGAGAGCTGGCCCACGGAGGCAGCACCACATCACCCACCTTCTCATTGGTCAGCTGGAGGCAGCCCAGGTCAAAGCCTAGCACAGAGAATTGGGTCAGCTGTCTCACTGTGGCATCTTTACCTGCTCCCTGGGCACCCCCAGCCTGTGCCTCCCTCCCCACGCCAGCTCCTACCATTCTGGTTCTCCAGGAAGTCAGGGAAGTAGAAGAACTCTGGGATGAGCTCCTTCACGTCAGCCAGGCTCTCCAGACGGGCCTGCCAGGCCGCTGCCACCGAGTGGAACTGCCGGTCAGAGCAGTCGAAGCTGGGAGAGGGGCACAGACCAAAGTGAGGTAGGGAGAATGGGGACAGGGAGGGAGGCGTGGCCGGGGAAAGGAGGACAGGGAGCCAGAGGGCCCAGGATGCCTGCAGGACCCACCT